AAAACATTATTACATACAATTAAAAGAAATTATAATAATCCTATATATAATTAACTTGAAATGACGTATTTTATCAAGTCGATTCATATTAATATATAGAATTTATATATAAAAAAAATACTTGCACAATTAAATTTTTCAAACCAAATATTACATATTAAAAATAGTACTGCATTCCTAAAATATTCTATTGAAAATAATAAATTCAATCATAATTGTAGCCTTTAAATATTTTATTAATCAAATACATAATTATAGAACATTTGATTGTCCATAATATAAATATTTTGCTTTGAATTGATTTTTCGATAAGAGCTTTAGACCAAAGCAAGGAAATAAATGTATGAGAAACCCCCCTACTCTTCAAGTCTCGATTATGAATTTGTCATTCGTAATCTGATAAGTGCATTTCGTACACTTATTTAGATTGTCAAAACATTGATATTCCTTATTATTTGGATTGAATTGTTGCTAAATTTGTTGTTTATTCTATGTTTTAGGTTCACATCGATAAATACACGGAAATTGAAGAAAATGAGCAAGAAATGGAGTTAATCGATGCAAAAAGAGCATATGAAGACTAAAATGCAAATGATCAAAAGTTAACTCAAAGCGAGAAACGAAAACTGAGAGTGCAAGGAGTTAATTGGACATGAAAAGAAGAGCAAGGACCGCATAAAATAGAGAAAAATGTGTCAAAACGGGAGCTTGTGAAAAGTTAGGGGCCAAATTACATTGGCCCCAAACTAAGCTGCAAGGCGCCTGCCCTCACCTGCAGGCGAGGTGCGCTCCTCACAACAAGACAGCCTCGACTGAGGCTACCCAAAGACCTAAGGCACGCGACTCTGGCCAAAAATTGAAAAAAATAAAAGGAAAATTTTTGTGACTTTGAGGGAAGAGCAGTATTTTGAGGGGTGTTCTTTGGTTTTTTTTTTCAAGAATTCTTGCCTAAGCTAAAAATGGTTCTTAAATAAATAATTTTTTCATATGATTAAAATCATAAATAGGTAACATTATTTTGACCCTAAAGTAAAAACCTTACTTTAACTCCTATATAACGATCATTATTTTTAAACTTTTTTTTTCTATATATTCATTTTCAACCACACATTCACACAACAAAATATTTTGAACATAAATTTAAAATTCTATCATACATTTTAACCATATATTTTTTAAAAAATCACTATTCAAAATTATATATTTTTTTCAAATAATGATTGTCAAACAAGGACTTGTTGTAGCCCTTGTTTGATCCACATTCTAAAAAAATAATTACTTCAATACTCATTTTCAACCACACAATTTTCAATAAAATAATATTACACATAAATTCAAAACTTTTCCTTCTTTTTTAATTACATATTTTCCGTCACATCACTATTTAAAATGCATTATGAGTACACCTCGACCAATGATCTCGTTATCAACTTAACTAAATAAAATGTAGATTATAATCACTTACTATCTAAAAGTGTCGAATCATTTATTGATCATTTAAAAATTTGATATGATTTTTGACATACCTGAACGATATTGTATTAGCGACTACTGGCAGATCAACATCCAGTATCACTAAAGTATAATTGCCTCCACCCCTCATATAAGGCACTATGATAATCACAAGTCAAAGGACAAATTTCATTATCGAACATTAGAGATTAACCACTGACACTCAGATAGTTATCCATGTGGAATCTCTTCCGCGGGTTTTCAATATTTTGTTATATAACAAAACGTTTACATGTTCATTTAAGTGTCACCACACTTTAGCTTGTGAGATCATCTATTTACTTCACAAGTAAGCAATGTTACATATGAATTTTTTTACTTCGGTCATATGTAATTTGTATCCTTGTGATTAACAAATTACCAA